ATAAGTTCTTATTTCGTAGAAATGAGTAATATTCATAATACCGAGTTTTTTTCTTGTAGCCAGTTCTTCTCGCATTTGGTCGGAACTATGGTTCAGCTGTGGTGCGTTGCTGTTGTTTGGCGATGCTATGGATTCTTGGGAGACAAAAAGGTGCTTTTTGAGCAGTTTACAGAGACATAAGATCGTCACTGGTGGTAGTAACTCTTTAGAAAAAAAAACAAGGAAAGCTAAAAAGCTAAATTTTAAAGGGAATGTTTTTTTTTTGCAGAAGTTTTAAATCTCCAGTACTTCTTTCTTGCAGAATCTTCCTTTTGATAAATCTTGCTTTGTACTTTTCGAGCCCGAGATCTATTCTTGACGATTTTGATGGGTTTGGTAATTGTATTCTTCTTTTTGACACATAGCCACTGTTCCATAAATATTTGCCTTGAATGCTTCCCTTATTTCAACTTTATTGTCATTCGATATAATTCATTTGAATCTTGGTAGTATTTTTCCTGTAGAAGTGCTTTGCATCCCTGTTCTAGGCAAATGTTTTACTCATACTACCGTTTTTATTTATTACGATTGTTGTTATTATAATTATTGTTATTCATGATACCATTGTTTTCCATTACTTCACTGTTGTTGTTATTACTAAGTTTTTTAAGTTGATTACTAAGTTTTACTAAGTTTTTTGTTATTATTACTTTTACAACTGGACTTTTGCTCATGAAATTGGTCAAATCTCCACCGGATTTGATTTTATGCAAGTAACACTTTTTTTAAGGTAGCACGACAGATTGGCGAGCAACTTTCCACGACGCATGTGGCATTCCACTATGGTGACATTCCGTACGGATATGTTCCGATGCCGCAGCCTCCACCATATGCGGACACTGTCCTCACCGACAAGCAACCCCTCACCATCTGAGAGTTGCATTTGTTCTGGAAGCAAAAAGAACGAGAGAATTTTCATCTGAAATTTGATGAGCTCCGTTCCATTCGTATTTTCTTGTTTTCTCTCTCTCGCAGTTTCTTCTTTGTTTTAAATTTCATGGACGATGGCCGTGCACTCTCCCCACGAATGCGCTGTCTCAGGGCTCCTGCTGCTTGCATCTCTGTCCAGATTTTGGCTCTGCCTCATTTCTTCTGCAAGCCGTTCTTCTAAAAATACACACCCTATGAGGCGGTGTTTAGCCGTGTGCATGTGCTTTTTATCGCTTAATTTTCGATCTCTT